ACTGCATAGAATTTGGTGGCTGAAGGGTAAGCCTCTGCTGGGTACTGACCACGAGATGACAAAATATTCGATATGCTCTCATGTTTCTTATCAGTTTAGCGGGCTCCCGATAGGGTGAAATCGCACAGTTGGCGTCGTTACCTGCATATTCCCACAGATTTGCCCACATCAGAGAAGATTAGCGATAAACCAAAAAGGTGCAAATGAGAAAATGCGGACACCTCAGAGAAAACATGCCAATGACTCAAAGACTCAAAAAGGACTCGCAAAAGTAATATAAGTGATTAAATAGTGAAGTTATGAACTATAGGGAATACAGTAGCTAAGGATGAAGGAGAGTTGGACCAAGGGTCGTCTTCTCATCTGTAATCATTTCTCAATCAATCCCTACCTGGATAACTTGGGCACCTCGAATTGTACGACCCAGTCAATATCCTGGATGTCGATACCACGAGACATTACATCCGTTGACAACATAACTGCATTGTCGCTTTTCCGGAACTCATCAATCTTGGAAAGAATTGGCATAGAGAGCACAGGCATTGCCAAAACAATCAAAGCGCTCAATTAGCCTTACCTGTTTCGTCCTCTCAGCTTGGGAACTGTGACCATGAACAGCATACAAGGGCCGCTTCGTGAGAACACGACTCAAAATCTGAAAATCCGTTTATCATTGCTCAAACGAAAAAATGGGGAGCTGACTCACGGAATGGAAATATTTCACTCCTCCACAAGATGGAAAAAACACAAGCACTTTCTTGTCTGGTTTGTTCCGAATAAATTCAACAGTACATATTAATTTCTCTGCTGCTTCGCAAACCTGCAGATGATGGAAAAATAAATGACTTTCCGACAAGACCTACAAAATTTCAGAACAAGAACCCACGGTGTAAAAGTTGTTTAGTGTCGAAGGAGAGACCAGATTGCTGGATTCTTTGATTTTTATAACTTTCTTATTTCGTAATCCAAACATCGACAGGTCTTCTAACTCCTTTGCTTGTGTTGCTGAGAAAAGTCCCGTTCGGCGCTGTTTCGGAAGTGCGAGCAGAACCTCCTTCAAGCTACACAGTAAAAAGTCAGATTATTTAATAAGGACGAAGAAAACG